AAGACTTGCGTCGATATCTTCGTTAGGCGGATTGTACGGGCCTTGGTCTTACCTACCGTTCTGACGATATCCACCGTATTTTACGAGTGCTTACTGTACATGCTTGGTTCGGCGTTGGTATGAATTGTTTTGCAGCTAAGCGAGAAGGGCGCTGCGGTCCGAAACGCAGCGTTGGTGACACTGAGTGATACCACCCTGCCTTCGCTCGCCGCCTTGGCGCGCCAAGCACTCCGCCTTCGCCGCCGAGACCGTGCCGCGCTGGACCGCGGTCGTCCGCGCGCGCTTCGGCGCCGAGCTGCGCGCCGCGACGGGGACCGAGACCCGCTTCGCCTGCGTTGGGTACTGCTTCGGCGCGCCGTACGTGTGCGATCTGCTTGCCGGGGTCGGTGGCGACGGCGGCGAGCCGGCGGTGTCGGCGGGGGCGTTCGCGCACCCGACCGCGCTGAAGGAGGAGCATTTCGCGGGCGTGAAAAGTGAGTTCTATCGGCGGCGGCGAGAGGGCTCGTCTACATCTCATCTTCCCCTTCTCCTCCCCTTGTGTTGCGGCAAGTCTTGTTCTCCGGGCGTGGATGTGGAATGAGCCCGGAGGGGCGACGAGATGTCAACCCGTAGCGGTCGCGAGCTTACGACACACTCCAGGACCCCTGCTGCTCTCCTGTGCCGAGAACGACCACGCGTTTCCCACCGAGTCGCGGAGAAAGGCGATCGATGTCCTCCAGAAGGAGGGCAAGGTTTACCATCTGCAGCTCTTCCAAGGCGTAGGCCACGGCTTCGCGGTGAAGGGCGACCCGTCGGATCCGTACCAACGTGAGTGCCTTAATTAATAATTATTTAATCAGTCCGAGCTCGGCGGTGGGCATGGGACTTGCTAACAGGCTGGTCTGTCTAGGCTGGTGCAAGGAGCAAAGCCTCAAGGCCATAATCGACTGGTTCGACATGTGGCTGATTCGCAGCTCCTGACGTTAAGGTGAGGATGGCACGGTTATCGAATTAACTTGTATCACATGGTTGTGGATCAACTCGCTGGAAACCAGTCCATAGCTTCTAGCACTCCAACCTTTCGGTGTCAAGTATTGAGTACTCATACGCCATCCCCATATCGTGTGTGACTTGGCCTACGCGTCTGTCTTGGCTAGCTATCCGGACATGGCGGAATCCGAGACGGTGGTGCGAAGCCGGGTCGTAGATTGGTTCTTAACGTAATTGGAGAATGACTGAGGAAACAGCTCTTCTTCTCGATGAGACTATTGACATGCCAACATTCCAATTTTCAATTGGTCGGAAGATTCCACATCTTCGTCAGGAAACACTTCGAGCATGGTTATGGGTGGTCTTACGTCGTTTAGAAACGGTGACCTAGGTTAGACTTACAACAACCGCGCCGTCGTGCTCCAGAAACAGAATAACATGGTGTTATGCAGCGGCGACGATACCAGTTGAGAATTCTCCCTGGTCATCTCTAGGCACACCGGACCTGCCGGTGAGGAACGGCAGCAGGCAATGAGTTGAATGGCCCGATCGGCGCACAAAACTGCGGAAGTCCTACAGCTGAGAGCCTGATGAAGAAGGTGTTTAGGCAATGGGTCAGCTGCAAAGCCGTTCGCGGGAGGCGGCTTCTACGCGAAACTGACGTCAAGGTGATTCCCAAGGTATGAAAACTTGGAACAAGATTGGCTCCTATTCAGGTATGTTTCTTGGCAGGGGGGGAGGAGTTTTTGTACGTGTCATATATGTTCGCGCTGTACATGGGTACATTGGTGGTTTGCTTAGTCTCTGGATGATACTCGGTAAGGTGGGATTGTGCTACATCGGCTATAAAGCTCTTGTGTATGTGCGTAAGTTTCACAGAGTAGGTTAAATCCCGTCGACGATGGCCGCACCGGCTGCTAGTGTCCGGTGTGGGTGTATGAAACAAAATAGTATTCCCTGCGCAATGTCCTCTCAGTCCAAGACATGTCTGTGGAATTCAACTCCGTGTTTCCTAGGTAATGGGATGGGGGGGAAGCAAGAAGAAAAAAGCAATGTGTTTTACGCTCTGCGTGCCTTCAAAGGGCACAGGTCATCCCCCCTTCACTTTTCGGCCGACTTTCGTCCGAGTCCGGGACGAGTATATGGACCAGTAATAGTATTGCAATTATTTCAACTCGTTGCAAACGTTTTCGTCTCACTAAGAATGGGGGAGTGAGTTATCGCTACGGCCTCATTGGACTAAGATGACGGAGAGACATGACCCTGACGCCTCGCCCCGCGCTCAATGAGCATCTAATGACTATTAAGTACGAGAGGCTGGCTCTACCACTCATAATTTATATGTACCCAAGCACGCTCGCACGGGAATGGAACGCTGTAGGACCCCTGTGTCTAACCCTGGGCCGGGTGGTGCCGCTCCCTTTCACCCTAAGCTTGATATGTACATTGGCCCCTCCTCAATGCACATGTTGGCTTCGACCGACCTGCGTCTAGTTGATCTTTTCCATTCTATCCTCAAAACTCAACTCGAGAGACAAGGAAAAGGTCACCATGTCGACGGCCTTGCGCTCCATCCGCCCTCGCGGACAGGTGCCCGAAGACGCGTCGGCGCCGGAATCCGGCGCGGCCAAGAGCTCCAAGGGACGAGTGGCATGCGGACAGTGCAGAAAACTGCGTCAAAAGGTAATACAAGAAAAACAAGCCTTCGCATCGGGTCGTTGTAGATGCAGATGAGAGCTAACACTGTTTTCTTCCCCACCAACCCAGTGTGACACACAACGGCCCTCCTGCAGCCGGTGCTTGTTGACGAAACATGAATGCGTCTACGAAGCCGACCTGGGCGAGACGCGTATGCAGGGCATCCGGAAGGTTAACCGACAATTGAAGGGGGAGGTCGACACGCTCAAATCCCTGATCGAGCGCCTCAAGTCGGCGAGCGATGAGGCCAGGGCGAGCATCATGGCGCAACTGACCGCCAATGAGTCGCCCGAAGCCATCCTCCAACGCCTGAGTACCGACCAAGGGGCGGCGCAGGAACGCACAGTCGAGACCTCTCGTGAGTCGGCCTCTGAGACGGGGCAATCCCGGCAGACCACCACCACAGCCAGCATCACCGCCTTCGTCAAGCCGGAGGAGGATGACGAGCTTCCGCTCCCGCCCGGGATAGTCCCCTGGCAGATTGACAAGATGCACTACCTCCTTAACGGTGTCGACAGCATCGACATCAACGACAAATCATCCGATGCTCAAGTTTGTGTCCCCCCCAACACCCTCCAAAGTGATTCTCATCGTCGTAGTACTCACATCGGCCGTCAAGTCGTCCACACATCCGGCAGACGCGCAAGCCCCCGGGTCAGAGGGAGGAGAAGAAGACCGTGAGCGGGAGAGCACGGAGCTCATCTATGCTCTCCTCCTCGCCGACCAGGCGGCGCGCCGCCGTTCGCAATCTTCGTCTTCCGCTGGGCCACTGCCCCCCGGCGCTGTGGGGGCCTTCGGCAATCTCCCGCTCTCGTGCGCCGTGCGGGCAAACTACTACCCGCCAGCGGTCCAGGCCCGGCAGCTGCTGAACCTGCGGGCCGAGGAGTACCGTCTGCCGTCATTCATAAACCCCGACGGGAGCCCGCTCTCGAGCCTGTTCTACACCTACCGAGACGCTGCCCTGGAAATGCTCTCCAACGGCGTTCCGTCGTTCCAGGTCCTCGGGCCCTCGGACCGCATCGACATCGAGCTCTTCTTCCGAGACCGCGAGCCCCACGACGCCTACGACGTCCACTCGTGGGCCTGCGAGTTGATGAAGAACATCGAGGGATATGACGTGTTCGTCCAGCTCGCAAGCATCGCCCTTTCCGCGACCTACATGCGGGTGAGTATCTCGAGGTGGTGGACTGACGATGCGTCTCTCTCTCTCTCTCTCTCTCTCTCCGTGCCATCAACGACGCTGGATACCCGTTCGCTGACACGCGGCATAAAGTGGAACATACTGCCCACCGCCTCCAACTACGCCCTCATGCCCGAGATGATCCGTCCGACCCACCGGCAACGGTTCATACCCCATCGCATGACCATCGACCTCGTGCCACAGTGAGCAGACCAACCCCCCAAACGCTGTTCCGGATTCAGTTGCCCTAACCGCGTGACCGCCAGCCCTGCCATCCGCAATGCGCTGATCAGCAGGTTCCGCGACTGGCTCTCTCCGGGTACGACGGACACAGGGGGCACCAGCGTCGGCTGGCCCTACAGCCTTGAAGCCGCCGTCGACGTGTGCCCCATAACAGGACGCAGGATGCTCAGCCGTGCCTTCGTCGAGCACGCTACCAACGGGTCCAACTGGAGTCTGGACAAGTCCATCCGCGCCATATTTCCGGAGATCGAAGCCATGGGGTTCACGATCAGAGACTGAAGTTGTCCCAGAAAAAACAAGTTATGCTTTAGAGTTGTCGCTGGCGGGTTTTTGAAGAAGAAGAAAACAGAGTGAACGGATCACGGCGTCAGAAAGGCGTTTGCAGACGGCGGGGCAACAGGTCATGCTCCTTGCTTCGTAGTATAGAAAGAGTGAGTCCGACGACAAGCGTCCACAGGAAGCCGGACGTCCATGTCAGCTGGCCAGGGCCTCGGATGATGCCAGGCGTTCTTGCAGATTGGTCGTCCAATGTAAGATCATCTGGATCACGTATTGTGCCTCGTTCATGTGATTTCGACACTATTACCCATTATAACCATGCTCAACCATAAAACATGTCACAAGGTATATAAGTGTTAGTTACTGCCCACGTAACTAACGGTATCGTTTTTACGTGACAGTTATAAGCCCAGCTCTACCTGCTATGCCTTAATAGTATATGTCAATTAAGTGCAGTAATAGCTTAGAAACTCACACCATGGGTTCAATTCCTATAAGGGGCTCCTAGTTAGATTTTCCTAAAAGTTAATGTTTAGTCTGCACTACCTATAATTAGCGAGATGTACCTAACTAGATTTTCTGTTGCAAGTGTGTTAGATCTGACTTGTTAGGTTATATCTCGACGAGGAAATCCCTTTTCCCGATCCATCTTCCACTCGGTTCTACGACATATCTACACAACCTGTTGTTTGGCATGGCTCAGCCGAAACCTTATCGAGAAAAGGTGGAACGTCGACTTTACACTTCGTTTTAGACTCATACCCTAACTACCACCTACGACCTGAGTCTTGACCTCCATAGGAACCATGGCCATTCCCGCGCAAAAGCCTGGGGGATACTGCGCTTCATTACCTCTCTCAGTGACAGCTTCGAGGAATGTGGTTTGGAAGTCCTAATGTCTTATATATATAGTTACACATTCCTACAATGCAACTGCTGCAAACCAAGTTGCATTGAGTTGATAGGAGACCACTGGGCGCAATGTCAAGAATCAAGGAATGTACGCGCTCGGCGGCGGCCCCAGGTAGCTCTCCTTCACTCCACCAAGGTCAACCACCAACTTCTCCAAAATCAGATTCGAATGTCTCAGCCTGATCCTGACGCTGTGCTCACCGGGTTCGAAGCCAGATCCGCCAAGGTCGTGGTCCCGCAGCCAGGTGCAGTCTTGCACGGCGTGGAACCATCCGTCAGGTAGGTCAACCGTCGTCGGCAGCAACCGATGCGTCTGGCCAGGGCCGTCGTCCACTTGGATCTCGTAGGTCATCGGGTCAGCCGGGTCGAGATCGAGAGTCATGTTGAAGTACAGCAACAAGGCTGGTTCGGCGACTTGCGAAAATGTGTAAAACCTGTAATCCAGCTGCGGTGAGGCTTCAATCTCGCTTGGTACAGCGGCGATTGCGCCCGCCGCCGTCCTCCCGCACTCGGGAAAGACTCGAAACCCTGGCTGAGGTTGGTGGGCCGCAGGAATCGAGACACATGCGTCCGTCTCGGCGAAACCGCCTCGGAATGATTCGGGAACGCGTCTTGCCGTGATTGGAAGGTGGACCTGTTCGAAATCGCCCTCTTCAGAACGGATATCGACCAGAACTTCCTCGTCAAAAGTGTCAGGGACCTGATCCCAGTCGACCGTGACCTCGATTCGGGCGTCATCTCCATCGGGATCGAGGGTGCCAGCCGTGGTTGACAACTGGAGCCAAGCGTGCGGAACAGATGCCTGCCAGTGGATGACTTGGGGTCCCCTGGTGTAAATATCAATCCATCTTTTCCAAGGTCCGTAGCGGCTCATCTGTCCCAGCGTGACTCCCGGAACCAAGTCGCGCCGGCTAGGATGCGTCCGATCCGACTCCTCGTTCGTCCTCCCAGGCCGAACACCTTCGTGGCCCTCCACCGCTATCCCCATCTGCCCCATGATGGGGTTGGAATGCTGTCTGCGCTGAACATAGGACAAGCCACTGATCATATCCCGATACGGAGCATGCCAGGTGTCTTCGAAGCCGTAGTGCGTCTGCCGCATTATCTGGTCCCATTTCCCGCCCAGAAGCCCGTGGAACTCCTCGGATAGGTCGTAGTCCGCATCAAAGAGATCAAGGACTTTCCGGGCGAGCCTGTTGGCTGTATTTCTTCGCTGTCGGGCGTAGAGCCGATTCCGACCCAGGGTGATCTGGAGCTTTGTGAAGATGGTGGAGGCCGCGACCGGGTGCAGGACCGTTTCGTATATTGCGGCCTTTTGCTCTTCCGGTGCATCCCTGTGGATGTCCTCGGCGAGCGCGAGCAGAGCTTCCCAACGGCCGAGGACGTCGTCTGCCTCGTTGTAGTTGACAAGGGAGAAGGTTGTCGATTCGATGTGCTCATGTCTCCGAAGAGCGGCCAGGCGGTCGTACTTTTGCCAGACTGTTGCAATCTCCTCGGATTTCTGTTTTCCAAAATTGACTTCTGCCATTGTCTGATAGAATTTGGCGAAATAAGTCGCCTCGATGGAGTTGATGTTCCAGGCCATCGTCATTGCGAATGTGAGCGGAACCTCCATTGGCTTGATGTCGCCGACATTAAAGACCCAGATTTGCTTCGCATCGCGTCTGTGTGCTTCTTGCAGCTGATGCCAAACTTTCCCCTGTGGAATATGTTATCGTGAGGCTAGAGGATCCGGGTGTAAATCAGGCCATACCAGAGAGTTGCTGTTGATCCATTTGTAGCTGCGAGGTACGCCCACGTACTCAAAATGATAGTATATCTGCCAGTCGGTCAGCCTGAAACCTCTTTGGCGAATGCATTTTCAACAATGGTCGCTTACTCCTGCTCCTCCTTTTCTGTCCCTTTCTGCTCCAGACGGGAGGCGTCTGATGCTACCAAAGTTGTCGTCGGAAAAGAGCAGAGTGACATCGTCTGGGACATCGAGGTTGCCCCCTTCGTATTGCTCCTGTACTTCCTTATACAGCGCCAAGAGCTCTTTGCACACCGTTAGTTACAAGCTAACCTTGCTTTCACGACAAGTAGCGGACACGTACGTGGCACGGCGTCCTCGCTTCCGTTAACCTGCTTGATAAGTGCCCGTTGAGTTTTGATCACGTCGCGCACTACTGCAGCCGGATCATCCGTCTTCATCTTCCGGTCGTATTCTCCACGCATGCCCAGTGTGAAGTAGGACTCGCGGCCCTTGGCTCTCGTCACACCTTCCTCGAAGAACTTGGCAATGTTCTCCTTGTTTGTGAGCCAGTTCCAGCTGCCGTCCGGGTTGTTCATGAACCACTCGTTTGATAACCGCTGCATGGGCTCGTGGTGCGATGTAGACACGGCAATGCCATAGTCCTCGGCGGCCTGGGCGGTCTCGGGATCGTCGGTGAAGAAAGATGCGCCCGGGTTTGGGTAGCCAGGCCACATGGCTGGCCACAGGAAGTTTGCCTGGAGAAAGACTAAGCATTCATGAGATTTATATTGACGTTGCAGAGATGGCGTACCTTGAGACGCAGCAACAGTTCGAATACTTTCTTGTAGAATTCCGAGTTGTAGCCTCCAAACGTGGCCTTGGCCCATCCTGTCAGGGCGGGGGCTTCATCATTGATGAAGAGACCGCGGAAGCGAACGCTTGGTTCGCCATGATAAGTCGGTTCTCTCAATGCAAATATGTCCTTGTGAAGCTTTGGCGGCACGTCCGCCCAGTAATACCAACTGGTCACAGTTCAGTTCATGAGACCTTCGTAGACGATCGAGAGTGAGCCCCTACGGTGAAACCCCGATCTGCTCAGACAACGTGTAAGCGCCAAATATCGCGCCCCGCTTGTCACTCCCGGCGATCACAAGCGCCATCTCAATGCCTGGTAGAGGTCGTTCGACCAGGGCAGTGGTGAACGATTCCCATTTCCCGTGCATCTTTCCAGAGTCGAGCTTACCCTCTTTCTCCAATTGCTGGATGATTTGACTTGATCGAACGCATCCGATAACAATGGCCGTACTCGTCTTCAAGGATACGTTGTACTGGTTGCTGTTGATGACGGTGACCTCGCTAGCATCAGATCGGGTCACGCGGCCGAAGTCCTCTGCAAGATTCCGTGCCGCGATATGAATGCCTACCGGATCCGACTCGTCGACCAGAATGGCTGCCCTGACCAAGTTGAGGGTCGCCACCCCCTCCTCCGGCGAGAATGTCACTATGGCTTTCTCGAACATGGCGTCGAAGAATTCGAAGCCTGTTGTTAACTGATCTGTAACAGCTTCAGCTGGAGTTATGATGGGAGACAGCTGATGATACTTTTTGAACCCCTCCGCCATCATTGCCCCTCTCCAAGCACCCGAGGCCCCGGCCAAAACAAGCCGACGTCGGCTTCCTGAAGGGCGAATATGACGACTACCAATCGAACCAGATGAAAATCGGGTCTTTTGGCGCAGAGTGTCTGAAGGTGGAGCTCGTACGACGCGTCCAGTCCAGAGAGTGACAACTTCTCCGCACGAAGCGGCCATGTTCGGCCAAGTCGTCGTTGATACTAGACCCGGTGACCGGGCCGGGCTCATTTCCCCCGCACGCCACCCCGGTCTTCGTCCCCGCCTCCACATGTCCTCTATGGAGCCATCTCCAGGTTATTAACGGGCAGGGCTTACCCTGGGAGAAGGGGATGGGTATTGACCTGACAATGTGACGCCCGCAGCGGGCATCGTTCCCATCCTGGCTAGGCGTAGCAATTTGTCTGTGATCACACGGATCAATGATTGGAAGAGTTCCGCGTGTGGTTGGGCCGTTCCGGTTCGTAAGGTGGATGATGTCGAAGCAGGCTGGTCTCCATAGGGAATTATGACGGCTGATTCAACTCCCTCAATAAGAAAAGCCCGTTCCCCTCTCTGGGGCAAGATTTCTATGCCATCCGAGTAACCTTCTGCAAACACTTGTTTCGTGGAGTGCTCGTCGCTTCAGTTGCCAAGTCTAGCTCTTTGAGTCCTCGAAGCTGGTATCATCGGCATTCCGAACCACACACTCGATAACAGCCACGGAAAACTGATCAACATGGGTAAGAGCGAGGCCATCGAGACGCCCGAGCTCGTCGAGTACACCGACTCGAAGCAGCGGACCGACTATGATAAGGTCGACAATGAGGTTGCCAAGTATGCTGGCGAAACCATTGTCGAGATCGACGAAGCGACGAACAAGAGGCTGAAGAGGGCGGTTGACAAGCGGATATTGAGTGTCATGGTTTTCACATACTTCATGCAGTCTCTTGACAAGGGAACGATGTCTTTTGCCTCCATCATGGGTATCGTGAAAGACACAGGCCTCAAGGGCCAAGAGGTACCAACATCGTCATGGCATTTCTGCGCCTCATGCTGACCCGAATAGTACTCTTGGTTGACGACCGTCATCTACCTTGTCATTCTTTGTGTCGAGTACCCGGTAAGCTCGTGCTCTTTGATACAGACCTGGGCGCGTTGGTGATGAACATCGAGCTAACCACACCTTCTGCCCAGGAAAACTACATCATTCAGAAGGTCCCGATCGCGAAATGGCTTTCATTCAACATCATAATGTGGGGCGTCACACTGACTCTTCACGCCGCGTGCAACAACTTCACTGGACTGGTCATCGTCCGCGGCTTTCTGGGCGCGTTCGAAGCCGTCTGCCAACCGACCTTCGTCCTCTTGACCTCCATGTGGTACAAGCGAGAAGAGCAAGCGTCGACGGCCATTCACTGGTGAGATGCTACTTGAAAAGTTCGAAAAGACAAAATGAAGCTGATTTCAGGAACCAGGTACATGATGAACGGGCTCCAACAGATCTTTGGCGGGTTACTGGCCTTCGCGTTCTCCTTCATCCCTGACTCGTCTCACGTCAAGTCTTGGCAAGCCCTGTTTATGAGCTATGGCATCATCACCGTCTTTTGGGGTTTCTTCGTGCTCTGGTGGATGCCCGACTCGCCGATGAAGGCACACTGCTTCAGCGAAGAGGACAAGAAACTCCTGGTGGAGCGTGTCCGGTCCAACCGCACTGGTCTGCAGAACCGCAAGTTCCGCAAGGAGCAGGTCTGGGCAGCCTTCAAGGACCCTCAAGGCATGTCACGTATCTCTTCCGCCTCTATCCGACACTCACTGACTGATGCTGGTTGAAGTCTACGGGTTCGCCTTGATTCAACTACTGACCACCCTGCCTTCCGGAGGCCTTGGCGCATTCGCGAATATTATTATCAAGGTAAGTTCCCAGTCTCTTTCATATGTCGCCATGGGGAGAAGAGTCAAGCTGATTGAGATAGTCGTTCGGGTTCACTACATGGCAAACCCAGCTGCTGCAGAGCGTGACGGGTATTTTGCAAATTATCACCATGCTCACGGCCTCGTGGATCGACAGGCGCTACAAGCAGACAATCCTAGCCATGATAGGGGCCGTCATCCCTACCATCGCCGGCACCATCGTCCTTCTCACCGTTCCGTTCGAGCCTAGCAAGAAGGTCGGCCTGCTGTTCGCGTACTACATCATGATCTCCTTCTGGGCCTGCAGCGGTCTCGCTCTGTCTCTCGTCACACGCAACGTGGCCGGCCAGACCAAGAAGGGCGTGGTGATCACTAGCAACTTCGTCTTCTGGGCTGTGGGGAATTCCATCGGGCCCCAGGTCTTCCGCTCACAGGATGCGCCGCGCTACTTCCTTGCGCTGGCCATCATCATTGGATGCTTCTCGTTGCTGGTGGTTGTCCTTTTCTTCCTGCGGACATACTACATATGGCAGAATAAACTGCGTGATGACAAGATCGCGCGTGGCGAGGGCGTTGCGGATACGACACACACTCATGCTTTCGAGGACATGACCGACAAGGTGGGTTCAATATATGTTACTGATTTTATTCTAAACATAAAGCTTGCTAACTATTTATCAGGAGGATGTGAACTTCAGATACGTCTACTAGTTGGGTGGTTAGGGATACATGCCAAACAGGAGGGGATGCCTTGTAGGATACGGCGTTTTGCTTGTTCTCCTGAGCGCAGGCGTGTGGACTGAATGACCAAGTAATAAATTCATGTAGAATTAAGCATTACCTCGTAATCCCATGAACGTCCTGAGATATTGAAGTAAGCATTGCCAAGGAGTAAGCAATAATTTCGGAAAATTGGGCACGGGACCAAGACCTGCGGCGCGAGATGGGAGAAAGCTTGTTGCGTCTTGGAACTTCTCCGGATGACCTTCATCAGCAGTGTGTGTGGACCCCAATATTAGCCATACGCACCGTTGCAATCCCTTTGTGGTTTATGAGTGTCGAGTCGAGTCAAGTCTGATTTCTTCCCCGCCCCCGGATTCGACTTGCTTCTCTACCTACCTAGGTCCCTCCCCCCGCGCCATCCACTTTATTGGACGTAGAACAGATATCAAGACGAGCCCATGTCGTATTCGAAGCGGGGCCAAGCAATAGCATCATGGTAGGTGCTAGTAAGTAATCAGGTAGAGCGATTGTCGGCCCATTTTTGCTTATGCGCAGCGGCCGTAATACCAACTTGAGACGGATGGGTGTCTTCTAAACTCCACCCTCGCAAGTTGAGAACACCGCGAAACTCCGGCAAAGATTGCCGGTAGGACCCTGCTGAGAGGCGATGCCAAGGGTTCCCCAGCTTGACACTAAATACCTACGTGAGGGGGTCACCTCGGCACCAGCTCCCCCTGCCGGTCTTGGTAGACAAGCCAACCAACATGGGATGGTGGTCGGCGGCACGTTGACAGTTGGCCATTTATGAGGGGAGATGGCCGAAGTGCGAACCTCGATGCACTTGTGGGAAGCCCACGCATCGCAAAACAAAGCGTAACCTCTTCCGGTACAACCATTCTGGGTCGATAGGTCGCCGTCCGTCGAATTCTGGCCATCAACCAGGCCACTTCATCGCCTCAGCCCACAGTGCCATATTCGAAAAGGAGCGCGTTCAAGACTCCGTGAGCATGTGCGTACATGACGCCTCTTGTGCCAACGGCTCGTCCTCAGTGACGACGCCATACCCGTTACGCGCACCCGTCCCCGTGGGGAAGAGAGCAAACAAGCTCTACAGAGACCGTACGGCCAACTTCTACTCACCAGGACAATGGGAGAAGGTCAACTTGCTTTCGTACGGTGCCATGTCTCACACTCGTCCTGTGCAAACATACTGACACATCATACGTAGAATGATGCACCTTGCAGTGCGCTCCCAGCCGCCGGATCTCAGGCTTTCGGTCTGGAGTAGCCCCGGACTGAGCCGTCCTGCCTTCTCCGAGGCCACGATAGAGGCGAATGGGTTCCGACCGGCCCAGGTCGGCGAGTCCTTCGGTCCGTCTTGGTCGACTCACTGGTTCAAGGTGCAGATCAGGATCGCGGAGGAGATGCGCCAGATGGAGCACCTCGAGCTACATTGGGATTGCAGCAACGAAGCAACGGTCTGGAACGCTCAAGGCGAGCCCCTCCAGGGTCTGACAGGTCGTGGTGAACGGGTCGAGTGGATTATTCCAGCGTCTTTCAAAGACGGGGCCGAACACACCATCTTCATCGAGATGGCCTGTAATGGCATGTTTGGAAACGCTGCGGGGGACCCCATCTTCAAGAACAACGCCAACGGGGATGCCATCCAGCCGCCGGACCCGGACAAGCACTTTGTCCTCGCAAAGGCCGAGATCGTCGCGGTGGACCTGCAGGCCCGGATGCTGCACACGGACATGCACGTCATCCACCAGGCGGCGCAGGAGTTCCCCGAGGACTCGTGGGAACAGCACGAGGCGCTGAACATCGCGACCCGGATCATCAACACCTTCAGGGTCGGGGACCGGGAGTCCATCGTCCGCAGCCGGAAGATTGCCGAGGAGTACCTGGGCCCAGACGTTAACTCGGAAGCCGTGTTCCGTGTCAACGGCGAAAAGGACGCCAGCGTGTTTGCCATCGGGCATTGCCATATTGACACTTGCTGGCTGTGGCCCTGGGAGGAGACGAAACGCAAGGTGGTGCGCTCGTGGTCGAACCAGTGTGACTTGATGGACAGATACCCGGAGCTCAACTTTGCCTGCTCACAGGCTCAGCAGGTGTGTTTTTCTTCTTCTTCTCAGGTATTTACAGCGGCTTGGATTAATCCCAACACAATCTCGCGCAGTTCAAATGGCTCAAAGAGGGCTACCCCTTCGCTTGGGAAAGGGTCAAGGCCAAGGTCAAGGCCGGTCAGTTCCATCCCATTGGCGGCTGCTGGATAGAGCACGACACCAACATGCCCAGCGGCGAGTCCCTCATCCGCCAATTCCTCTTCGGTCAGCGGTTCTTCGAGAGTAACTTTGGGCGTCGTTCTACCACGTGCTGGCTGCCGGATACCTTTGGCCAGTCGAGCCAGATCCCGCAGCTCTGCCGCCAAGCCGGAATGAACAGGTTTCTCACTCAAAAGATTTGCTTCAACAACATGAACGAGTTTCCTCACACAACGTTCAACTGGTAAGTGGAAATGGCACCTTGTGTTTCCCAGCCAGTTTGGGTGCTCATTCATGGCAGGGTTGCTCTCGACGGGAGCCAAGTAATCTGTCACATGCCGCCCGCAAAGACATATTGCGCAGATGCTACTTTCGGAGACGTGAAGCGCAGTATGACGCAGCACAGATCGCTCGACCAAGATCACACATCTCTCCTCGTGGTAAGTGCTCGCCTTATCCGAGGCCGCTATCGTCGCGCAGCTCTGCTTACTTACACGTACTAGTTCGGCAAGGGAGACGGCGGCGGCGGCCCTACCTGGCAACAGATCGAGAGGCTGCGTCGGCTCAGAGGCCTCTCGGACACCACGGGTTTGCTTCCCCGCGTCCACTCTGGCGGAACCCCTGACGATTTCTTTGACAAGCTCGAAAAGAAGGCACATACCTTTCCCACGTGGCACGGCGAGCTTTACTTCGAGCTCCATCGCGGCGTCTACACCACTCAAGCCCAGACCAAACTCAACAATAGGAAAGCAGAGATTCTCCTCAGAGACATCGAGCTTCTGGCAACCATCGCATCCGTTTCAGACGCGTCGTATAGCTACCCGAAGAAAGACCTAGATGAGATGTGGGAGGGCGTGCTCCTCTGTCAGTTCCACGACTGTCTCCCAGGCACCGCTATCGGGATGTGCTACGACGACTCTGACAAGGTACGTTATTGTTTTCCAAGTCCCCAAAGCATAATCATTTCACTCATGCGGATGAGTAGGTTTACGCGAACGTGTACCGTATTGGCAGCAACCTGCTCGAGGGCATTTACAAAGCACTCAGCATCAGCAAGATTAATAGCAAGATTTCAAGCACCGATAATTTGGCGGCATTGAATACGCTAGGATGGCACCGAAAAGAGGTCATAGCCACAGAAGACGGCAAGCGCTTGATTGCATGTGGCACCGGGAATGCTATTTCCATCGAGGAACCTTCTCTTGCCTCCCAGAAAGCCGTGTCCGTCAAAGAGGTTTCCGACGGCGTGTTTGAGCTACAGAACAGCCGTTTCACCGTGACTGTCGAGAAGGGCTGCATCACCTCCCTATACGACCGCCGAGCCAGGCGCCAGGTCCTGTCGGGCAGGGCTAACAATTTTGTCATATTCGACGACAAGCCCATCTACTGGCAGGCCTGGGACGTCGAGGTCTTCCATCTGGAGACGCGCGAGGAACTCCAGAGCTCAGCCACGTCCGTCGCCGAGGACACGCCGCTCCGGGTCAGCGTGGTGACGGAGACCAGGATCAGCGACGTGAGCTCCATCAAGACAACGATAAGCCTCTCGGCCGCGTTCGACGACGATGACGACGCAGGCCATTCGTACGTGGAATGCACGGCAGAGGTTGACTGGCACGAGACGATGAGGTTTCTCAAGGTCGAGTTTCCTGTCGGCGTTCGTCACCACGAAGCCTCCTATGACACCCAGTTCGGTGTTATCCGTCGGCCAACACACTACAACACTTCGTAAGTCCCCATGATCATGATTCCATGGCCATCACGGCGAGCTCTGTTTCGTGTTCTAACTCTGACTCGACAGCTGGGATATGGCCAAGTTCGAAGTATGCTGTCACAAATACGCCGATCTGTCCGAGTACGGATATGGCGTGTCCATCTTGAACGATAGCAAATATGGGTTTGCTACGGTAGGCAACACAATGCGCCTGTCGCTCCTTCGGTCCTCCAAAGCCCCCGATGACATGGCGGACATGGGCAAGCACACCATCAGATGGGCCATACTGCCTCATCAAGGCTCTCTCGGCCCCGAGACTGTGCGGGCAGCGTTCAACTTCAACAACCCCCTCAAGTTGGTCTCGGTTTCCCCCGAATCTCCGCTCCGTGCCGTCCCCATCGCTCTGACGGGCGACCAGAACCTGGTTCTGGACACGATCAAGCGTGGTGAGGACGACGAGGGCGTAAGTCTAGGTGAGCTGCCTACTCGCCCTGGCAAGAGCGTCATCGTCCGGATATATGAGAGCCTTGGTGGGCGCGGCAGGGGGAGGCTGGAGACCAAGTGGAAACTCAAGAGCGTCCACAAGAGTAATATTCTCGAGGATGACGAAGAGGAAGTTCCTGTTGTCGACAATGGCTTTGACGTCGACCTTGGTCCGTTCCAGCTACAGAGCTACCGACTCGTGCTCGATGTTTGAGCTTGATAGCGGCATTTGCATAGAATCAAAGAATAGAGCTTGCGCGGATTTGATCATTTTACTATTGGAGTACAGCTCTCGGCTTTGCATCGACAACTCCAAACTCACCACTATCAGCATAATTCCGAATCCTGTCTTGGTGAACTGTACTTAATACGCGATGTATCCAATGTTGCATGGTCCGAAGATCCTCCCTGGCTCTTTGCGTGAAGGCAAACTTATTTCTTGCTATTCCCTGCTGGTAAGCTCCCATAACCACCTTTATAAAACATGCTGTTTATGTTCAGCTGTCGTTTGGGTTCCATCGGGGTTTGGAGAGAACAGCAGGTCGTTGTGTGGATATGATTTCAAGCAGAATTTAAAAAGGAAGCTTGGCGATATGTCTACCGCTCGCGCAGTATCCGCACTCTCGAGAATCTGTCGTCTGATTTGGATAAATGTCGCTCATACCTGTCAAAAGGCAGATTGCTTTCACACTATCTGTTTTCTTCTACATATCAAGTACATTTCTCTGGCCAAAACGATACTGGAGCTGATGCCCATCATCTAACTACACAGCTCGTCGTCACGTCCTTTGAGCCGTAACAGTGGCCGACCAAGACACAGTGATGAATAGATAGCCGATTTTGGGTACTCTTCGAAAACGTATTCCGGTGTAGGCGACCCGTTCTTCGAACGTAACGAGCAGTGCAGGCTCACATAAGGGATGAGATTTTGATGAGCGCTCATCATGGCTTGTTCATTCCATTCGTGTCTATTTTCATTTTTTCCCAAGGCTCTAATCTAGGGGTCTATGTGTAAATGCCATTTCTGCCAACAAAGAAAAGGAAACATAGCTCATGTCGTTTGACAGGAGTGGTGGGGGTATCTATGAGCTCTCGTACTTGGCCAAGATGCTCTCAAAGTCTTTCCAGTTGTGCATCACGTCGAAAGCGCCGAGCTCCTCGCTGAAGAGCTTGACCATGGAGTCGAGCTTCTCCTGGCCCTCCTCGTAGTAGGGGCCGACGTAGCCGAGGAGGGGGATGCCGGCATTCTTGGCGGCGGTGGCGCCGCTCCTGCTGTCCTCGATGGCGATGCACTCGCTGGGCTTGAAGCCGAGCTTCTCGCAGGCGTGGAGGTAGATGGCGGGGTTGGGCTTGGAGACCGGGGGGTTGATGCTGCTGGCGGCGGAGAAGATGCCCTCGTCGGGCTTGCCGAAGAACTGGTCCATCTTGGTCTTCTCGATGGAGGCGACGACGCGTGGCATGGCGGACGAGGAGACGATGGCCATGTGGTACTTGCCGTCCTTTTGGAGCTTCTCGAGGACCTCGATGACGTTCTCGCAGGGCTCGGCCTTGGCGCGCAGGTTGGCGATGGTGGTGTCGAGCTCCTTGGCCACCCACTCGTCGAACTCGTCGGCGGGGATGGTGAAGCCGTGGCGGGAGCAGAGGCCGGTCATCATGCTGCGGAAGTTCTGGCCGACGAACTGGTGCATGAGCTCGGTGCCGCCATAGCGCTTCTCGAAGCCGAACTTCTCGAGGATCTGGTTGGCGAGCTGGGCGCAGGCTTCAAAGGCCGCGTTCTCGGAGAGAACGAGCGTGTTGTCGCAATCAAACAGGATGCACTTGATCTGTTGTTTTGGGAACATGTTAGATAGCCGGTCGGTCATATGGCTCACTGCTGGGAAGCTTTGCGTGCCGTTCTTGGCATTCGAGAACCGACTTACCTGAGGCATGTTTGCGGATTTGGGGACTTGATGTAACTGTCTTTGGGGAGAAGATGTGAAAGGTAGCAAGGCAGAACGGGGAGAGTGAAGTGAAGAGAATAAAAGAGGAAACTTGTCGATGTTGGTGACGGATTTTCTACTTGATCGGCAAGGCATGAAAGCCTGTCTAGGGTGGTGTGGAGTGGTGGATATCTTCAGGAACACAACCGTCGGTCCCCTGGGCGCATCATGGATGGAGGGGCGAGTGGGCTCCGAGAAAAAGAGCGCAGGCAGGTTTCAAGAAGACGGCATGGCACGTACTTGGAACTTGTTATTCGTCAGTTGGCACTTACCATGCCGTCTTATCTCGGGATTCCCATCTAGTACGATGTATGGCACAGCAGTTTATGTATGTAGTGTACACTAACTAAATGCCTGGCGGACAAGTACGCCTCCGATAGCCTCGAAGAGTTGCCCTCGAGCTTTGAAGAGCATGGCGTAGTAGTAGACCTGTGGCAACCAAACTCACATGAACCGTTTTCCTCTTTTCCTGTGTAGTCTACACAACGTTGAGGCTTTGAAATGGCGTTTCGGTATGCGTTTCTTTCTGTCTTTCCGATGCCCGCATGGAGGGGTTGGAGGGGTAGAATTCAAGACAAGGGGACCACCCCTCTCCCGCCTGCGGTTCTTTATTTCTCCCGCAGCCAACCATGGATAGATTGAGGCCCTGGAACGGACCGAAACCTTTTGCTCAACACCTTTCTGCGACGGCATCATGTCATCCGGTGACGTATGGTGCTGCAAGTCCCCATCAAAGTGTGGATTCGGTGCAGAATTGACCCCCGTTCTGACTCGCGAGAACCGCCGCAGCCGTCCAGGACGGTGAAACCCCGCCAACCGTTGATTCGTCCGAAGCTAGATACTGGATACTGGATGGATACCGGACGCTGAGAGATAAGCAACAAGGTGCTGAACGACGAGGCTTTTATTTCCGTTCTTCATGATTGACCGCCTGTCTTTTCGGTCGCGATGTGTAGTCGGAACCTGAGAATTGAGAGCCTGCTCCGATAACTTCAGAGAGGATCCGTTTAGCCTTGACTTTCTCGTCGGCTTCTTTGATTGACTCCTCGTCCTTGTTGTCTTCTCTCGAGGGGCGAGGGGCCGGCGAACTGCGTTCTGCCCTGTTGCTTGACGAACCGTCGAGCGAAGATTGGCAAGGACTTCTATCATTTCCGTCAGCCAGTGTGACTTTTTAAAAAACATTCAAAAAAAAATTTGAGACTAACAGGGCTTGTTTTTTGCCCGTGACGTCGCTAGCTGATGTGGAACCCATGGTCGATAGACGGAAGTGCAGCTGATGATGAACGAAAACAACCACCAGAGATTTCTCTTGGAACATAACAATAGAATTGAGCCATTCACTTTCTTAGCGAATGATAGCTATAGAAAAAAAGTTCCAGCTGTATCTCCGATATCCGAATCTCAACATGGCTCGGAAAGGTTCATTCTGTCAAGCCTGTTGCCGATTAGTCGACCCGTCATTTCCAGAAGTTTATTAATCTGGTCGCCATGCTTCCCGCTATGTGCCCCCTTGTCTCCGTATCATATCAGCACAGTGTATGGGAAGAAAACTAGCTGGAAATCGTTGGCCAGGACCACACCAGAATCCCAGTCACCTCAATCCTAGATATCTACTTGCGACACTGGGTAGGATGGTAGGAATGAGGCGCGCGAGAGCCTTGTGTATCGAGGGGATGGCAACATTATGATAACACATCAGGTGGAGGCATGCTTCGTTAGATGACAGGATGTAAGACAGGTCGTTGTTCATGATGCCTCGGGCTGATATGTCCTCGAAATTGCACCTTAAATGATCACCCTGGGGAAGTGGCTGTGCCTTTCAGCATTGTGCAAAACCTGTGCTACGATCTGCAAGAAATGTCAGAGGCCACGAAAGGTATCTTCTCGCAAGGGGTCATCATACATATTTCGTGGTCATACACCCAATCTCGCGCTTCAGAAGTAGAGGTCGCCGCAGTAAATGATACCTATCGATGCCGTCCTTGTATGCTGCCATAAGGCTAAGCAAGTCTTCTGGACAGAGGGCTAGGTCAACTAGAGATGGCTGGCAAAGAACATTGAGTGTCTCTCCATCAAGTTTCGGGAATTTCGGATTAAATTGTAATGATGTACGGAATGCTGCCATTGCGTCAAGGTTGATGTTCATATCCTCGGCGATGTTGATGATATTCGTGTAATCGTCAAAGACTTTGTATCAATAGGGCGTCTCCATTATCAGGTTGAAGGTGACATCATTGCTCGTCCCACTAGTTTCCTTGATAATGGAAATCTCGGGCAGTATTTGTACGGTAAACTCCGTATAGAGAGCTCTGTTTGTCTCGCCACAGAATAGGGGCGGTTGATGTGGCAGGGAAACCAGATTCAGTGGGACATACCTTCAGGTCGATCAGAAGTCATATACAGTACCCCATTCACCCTTAATTTACTACTTTCTCCAAATGGTCATGTGCTATTGCTTGACAGGAAATAAAAAGCACAGATTAAATAAACCACCAACGTCTTCGCTTTTAGTCTTTGAAGAGTAATCTATAGACTATCAATACTATTTATTACCCACAACTATAGAGAGATACTAAGATATAAGTTTTACTTTTATTATAGGTTCCACACAACTCTATATCCCGTTATGGCCTGCTTACACTAGAAGTTTATAAATTATGCTACAGATAGTCTATGTTCCATAAGTCCAAAGTATGCTTGTGTTGGAGGAATCCATGCGCTTAACTGGCCCAAGAACTGTTGCACATCCTTACATAGAGCTCCGGGTAGTGATCAGCAGGGAAGTGGCCGCCAAAGCCGCGGGTAACAATGAAAGTCAAGTTACCGAGTCTTTCTATCCAACTTGTGGGCTATCCCAGTGTTTCCGTTGTCAGCAAGAAGTTCAGAGATGCTACAAACAGGAGCCGGATACAAACTCACCGCCAAGGGAACTTTGGCAAGTTCCGCAAACGGGCCATTCACGTTACCCCACTGAGCCACGCCTGTCGGCACATCTGACTGGGGAAAGTTCATACTCTCAGGCTTGTGTACGGAATCGTATCGTTAGTTAATTGTTTTACTTCTTGGAGTTTTATCCGTCACATACCTTGAGCCATTCCAAGTAAGTCCTGACATTCCCATAGGCACCAGGTATCCATTCCAAAAGCGTTCTCGTCACAACTTGCTTCAGGGTGAAAGGATACCCGTCGCTCAAGACGTGAATCAGATGCCAGATCCACCCCGCATATCCGACGGGGCTGTCATTGAGAGCTTGGCTAAGTTTCAGAGGGCCCTGGCTTTGGATCGTCATGTACGCGTTGAATCCACTACTGAACGCCAGAACCCCGGCAATGTACTCTGACTCGGTTTGATCAGTTTGGTTGTTACTGAAGCGCTCAGTGTCGGCCGCAGTGGGCTGAGCGAAATAGAAGTCGGTAAAGTGGCCGACGAGGTTTTCCTTTTCGTCGTATGCCATAAACATGGCAACCCACCAGCCGGCATCGGTGGAGATGACTCCGTACTTGTCGTATCCCAAAGTCTTCATCAGATTGGCAAAGGCGGCACCGGCTTGACGGGGACCAAATCCTCCGTGTGTTGGCGCAGGGCTAAAGCCGAAACCGGGCATGTCGGGAGCCACAACATGAAAAGCGGGCGTGTCTGCGTCCTCGGGCGACGTGAGGGGCTTCAGGATCTCATTCCAATCGGTGTGTGTAGATGGCCACCCATGGAGCATCAAGAGGGGGATCGCATCAGGTCTCTCAGACTGCTCGTGAACGAAGTGTAGAGGCAATGATTAGTTGTACCCATGTCCCGCTGAGACGTTCACGATGTAGTGGTGACCGTTGTCGTTAAGTTCTTTCTAGACTTTGAGCCAGTCGTATTCATTCGCCAAATAGTGTGCAAGGGCCGTCATGTTGTCAGCTGGTGGACCTTCTCTCCAGGTATCGCTGGTGCCATCTTCCAAGCCTAGAGGCGGCCTATAAAACTCAGCCTTTGTAGCGGCCTGCTCAATCAGCTTTGAGTCGACGGAGATTTGGTATGGAATAGGCGTGTTGTCGGCTTCCACCATGCCAGGTAGCGCTACCGCAAAGAGTGTTAAACAAAGCATCGTGTATCTAAGAGCCTTGTGGAATTTTCAGTCAAGTAAAGAAGCTCAGTGATGCCGTGTGAATAAAATGATTCTCCTAGCTAGTAACTCCCCCACCCTACTTACGAGACACCCCCACATCCGAGACATTATCATCACCATCATCACCACCACTATCACCACTTATTTCACCATCTCTACCGCCCACCCATATACAACTTTCAGCCTCGCTAGGCAATTCAGATGCCCTAGATTTATCCAGACTATCTATATTACTAGCATCTAGACTTTGCGCCTAGATAATATCCTTTATAGTGGTAAAGGTGCTGTTAGGTAATAGGCAGACCTTTTTCCTCTTATGTGACTGTATATTATCTAACTAGGCTTATAATAAGTTAACTTACCTTTCTAGAAGGGCTGCTCTAGATACCTGCTTATTATATCCTTTTTACACCTTTCTAGATAGGTAACAGATAGTATAGGTATCTAACTTATCCTTACCTAGCTAGGTTAACTAGTGTAATTAATACTATAGATTAGTAGATTAATAGGGGGTTAACTATAGGATAATAGATTTAGCTTTATCCTACTGTTAGCTACTAGACTGCTGGCTGGCCTAGCTAGCCTGGCTGGCCTACTAGGCCTTAGTGACTAGTAGGTTAGATAGAGGGTGCCTTCTAGATACTAGCTATAACCTAGTAGCCCTCTAGCTACTCTTAATATTAATATTTATAATAGATACCTTATAGGCCTTAAAATAACACTTTAGAAATACTTTTTTACTAGTAATAGTTAAATCTATTACCTAGTTATCTAGATATCTAACCCTTTAGTAATAAGCCTACTTTAATAAGCTAAAGATAGCTATATCTAGAGGCTAGAGGATAGTAGAGGTATATAGCAGTAGAAATAATAAATAAATATAATACTATTAGTATTTTTATATAAAGTTAATAGTTATATAGCTATAATACTTATTAAGAACTAGTAGTCTAGCCTCTTCTAGCTAGGTAGGCCTAGTATATAGAATAAAGACCTTCTTTAGCTATTTAAGGGTATATTATTAGTTATCTAGCTATTATTTACTACTATAAATTACTAAGCTTTATATCTTAATTAGTTAAATAAGTTATATATAAACTACTAGGCCTAAAGTAACTTACCTTTATATATAAGTAAGGGGGGTAAGAAGCTCTTAGTAATAAATAGATACTTAATAATAAGTACCTATACCTAGGATCCTTACTACTTTTTCTAAGTATATTATAATATTATAAAGCCTAACACTAGTCTATTAACTTTCTTACTTTTTATAATACTAGTCTTATTTATATTCTATCTATTAGATAAATAGATACCTTAGATAGTAGGGATACTACTAAGGTAATAAAAGAAATCCTAAATAACCTTAGGGGAATAGGCTGCCTATTACTAGGTATTAATTACTTTAGATTAGAGGGTTCTAATAGATAGATTTTGCTATATAAATTAGGCTATCTATTTCCTCCCTATAAGAGGATGCCTATTACCTATTATACGCTCTACTAGGCCCTTTACTTATTAATAGGTAATCTACCTGCTAAGGGAAGCTTAGAGGGATATATAGGCAGCTAGATTATCCTCTTAGGCCTAGGATAAGTGTTATATATAGGTAAAGGTAGTATCCCTACTTTACTGCCTATAGTATTAATAATAAAGTGACTAGTATAGTATGCCCTATTTAGAAGCAGCAGCCTAGATGCTATACCTATTTTGTATATCTAGAAGGGCCTAATAAAGCTTATCTTTAGTATATTACTTTATGATAGGTTAAAGAAGGTATCTTAAAAAAATAGCGTTGTTTGGTTATATATGTGAAATGTTATGATAGTTTGAAAAAGGTGGTGATGTTAATGAAGGAGGAGAAATGCGGGATTTTCAGATGTCTTGGAAGTGGGGGTGTCTCGGATGTGGGGTGGGGGAGTTATCTCATAATGCGTTTATATGTCCAAGCTTTTCTTGAAATGATTTTCATTCTCACTCGATTGCTAATCACTACTCCTAGGCAGGCATCGTTGACACATGCTTAATAGACACCTGTTACACTGGGTTACGGAGTTGACTCTCTAAACTGGGAAGGCCAAAGGAGCCAATAATCCACCGACCATGAGCTATGATTGCTAAGCCACTGCTTATAATCCTTATTGATAAAAAGATTTTAGCGCTTACAGAAAGTCACTTACTCTAACCATCTAGAATAAACGAAATACCCACTCCGTATGAATGGGTTAGATTGTCAACCACAAATCTCCATTCATAAGCAAGGCCAAGCGTCAGCACAGATAAGTTTAGTTGATATCGTCAATGGCCGCGTCCTAAAGGCTAAGGATGCAAGATGTGGGTTACTTAGCTTATGTCCTGCGTTAGCCGCTGAGGTCCTGGCGGGGTCATGTTGGTACCCATGACTGATAAGTCGTATATGGTTCGCTTAAGACCCTCGTTCAGGCAACGACGCAGCCGGACACCGTTTTACCTGATAAGTCTGTAGGGATCTTGATCCTTAAAATGAGCCTCCTCTCGCTGGCTTACTCATGGGGGAGCGGATGGGATCACGAGTTTGCCAGTGGGTATGGGGCATGTGCTCCTTGCAGTTCAACGAAGGACTTACATTCTTATTTGCAAAGCATTTTCTCACAATTCGCCGACCTTGGCAACGTCGTCGGCAAGGACAAGCTGAGTCGATACTTCAGCTATCACTTGTGTAGAATATTTAGAAAGGAGGGAAAATGACAACACATTTCTTGAAAAGTTGTGTTCTAGCGAACTGAGAAGGCGGAAAGAGGAAACGGCGAAGAAGGCATCCAAGGGTTGGATATCCTGGACGTGATGCGTAAGACTTGTTGCTTCTGCACACAATACCCGGCTACATCGACTAGGGGGCCGCAATCCGATTGCATTACTGCAATTCAATAGACAGAGGCAAAGGCTTTTCAAAGCGCTGAAAAGACTTGTTCCGAGTCCGGACCTCTGGTGTTTACAGGCATGCAATGGGCAATGTACCCTAGGCTTAAAAGCACTGTGTTCCTTAAAACCATACGATCCTGCCGGCATTCAAGAATGGAACTATATGGAGGGACAACCAATAGAAGTTCACAGCCTCGTCAGCCGGCTTTGCGAAGAATGCATCGATATATTCAAGTCAATTCTAAAGGAATTGCGGGATAGAGAAAACAACCTGTCCAAGGCCGTCTTTCGAAGCTTAGAAAGAAGCGGCGGCTCCTTGATCCTGTGGGCAGATAGCTACGGGATCGTTCGTGGGAATTTGGACGATGTTCTCAGAACATCACGGTTTCTCCGGAAGTCCTTATTGAAGCTGCTGGTAAGCATCAGTCAAACACTGACAGATCGTACGCCACTACTTGGTACCAACGATATGCGGAGAGGCTGACATATCTGAGGCTGCTTCTGAACTTGATTTTTACATACAAGATTGTGATTCATGTTGGTACATTGGCATCTACCGTGAAAGATGCACGAACGGCTATTCAGTCCATGCTGTATCACCTAGAAACCCACTCAGAAGACATTTCTCTCTTATCCTTGCCATCCGGCGTATACTTAGATGGCAAGGCCGAATATGATGCATCACACGCTACGGCTACGATATCTGAAGAGCCTCCCCGACTTTGCCCGACCAAACCTTCCAACTCGGCCGCTGCTGGCACAACGCTGCCCTCACTAAAGAGATTGAGGTGAGCATAACCTGATGCCTCGATGATGGCAGGTAAATATATATCTGAACATCATTTAGGAAACCATACGAAAAGCGATGCCGTAAAAAGGATACTCCCTACAGGCAGGCTCTCGCTAGACCACTACGCCATTCTTCAGGGTCGGAAGCCCGTTCTACAGCAACAAGCGATACTAGAGGATTATGGTTTCACGCTCAAACTGCTGTAAGCCTGGCTCTTTTTATTTGTTTTCTCTGTGCTTAGCGAAGCAATCCAAACTAAAACCTCGCGTTTGCAGATCAAAGCCAGCCATTATCGACCCGGTGCTTGGGGGAAACACTGGGAACGATAAAGATGTGGTGGCACAACCTCTTAACGAGCGAGTCGCGCCAGACCTCACCGAGTGAGGAGTGAGTTGAGTCTGCGGCAGGAAGTGAGGGCAACGGCAGGGAAGTTAGTCATTAATCTCTAGCGTGTATCATCGACGAGAGCCACTCCCAAGATGTCGCTACAGCCTACAGGAACAGAGACGTTTAAGATTGACACAATTGCACGATGATTTGATTCATGTTATGTCTCGTCGTCTCACAATTGATGTTCGGTATTCGTGAAACATAAGCACTCAGTCAGGTCAGCTAGTTTAAACGCGTGCGATAACAAGGTTCGTGAGCGCGGCCCTGATGGCAGACGGGGTGGGAAGGGCTCATCTATCAAGGTGATCTCGGGCCGGCCAGTGGATGCGCGGATTATTGTAGCGTTGGCAGCAAGGTTATAGACGTTCCGCAAGTCGACTTCGAAGGAGGGCGGAAGCGTAGCTGTGATAAACAACCTCCGTCGGCAGACCATGGCCGTTCTAGCCGCCATCTCAAGGAGGAGGGGGCGGAAGGTGGCGTTGGCACCGAATATAAGGCGGGCCTCGTCAACAACGACACGGTCGATTGCATAGCTATCGCTAAGCAAGTAGACCAGGGACCTCCACTTCTGATGAACAAGCCGCTCCGGACTGAGGACGATGACGGTGGTAGTGTTGCGAACGGCGTCGGGGGAGTCTTCACTCGAATGTTGTTACAACACCATACCTATCTTCAGCCAAGTGGCCCTGTTGTTGGCTTCTTCAATGAGGTCTCCCTTCGGGAATTTGGTTGCTCAAGCGTGATCCCGCCCCTGGATTTACATAAACGATAGTCAACAAAGCATACATATGCAGCCAAATGTCAAGTAAGATATCATCCGCACACTTCATCAAAAGTACCCGGCAGGGTACTAAGCCGCCTATCTTACGTGCTGGAGCTGTCTATCTGCCTTGTGATGACGACGACGACGATAACCAGATTGGACTGGAAACCGTCAACTGCCTAATCAGTAATCGGCGAGACAAACCCCGCACTCTCTCTCATCTTTAGCCATCTTGACAACTCAACATCAGAAGATATTAAACCCACCCACTCCGCGTCGGTTGGAACAAACTCGACCAGTTACCCGGAATGGCGCCGCGAACTCGTGAAGAGCTTCTGGCTTACGGGGTGCCCGATCCCCTTTTTGAGGCCGTACGTCGGACGCCTAGCCGCGGGTTGGTGTGATGATTACTGACCGGGCCTGACAGGAGCTTGCGGCCAACCCGTTGCGAGACCCCCAACCGGACGACCCGTACTACGGCCGGAACGACCTCATCGCAAAGCGGGAGCACCGGGCCACGCGCCTGCGCGAGTTTCGCCACCTGCGCTACCTCCCGGGGCGCATCCCGGGGCGCATCTCGGACCAGGTCCGCGAGGAGGATCGCAAGATCCCCGCCAGAGATGGTCACGAACTCACCATCCGGGTCTACACCCCCGTGGACGCTCCTCCACCCGAGGGAGGTCGCCCGCTCGTTGTCATGTACCATGAAGGCGGCTGGTGGTCGGGCGATCTATCGGATGAGGAGGTGAACTGCCAGCTCTTCAGTCGTGACCTGGGCGCGGTCTGCGTCAACGTCGACTATCGGTCAATCCACCACCTTCTTGCCTGCCGAGGCAAAAGCTAACGAAGAGACAGCCTTGCGCCCCGAGTTCGCCTTCCCGACACACCTAAACGATTGCTGGGACGCTCTGCAATGGGCATGTACAGAGAACCCTCGCGGGGGAGCGACTGATCCACGGCTGACCCGGGGCCACCCCTTTTCAAGATTGCTGGGAACGCCTCGAGCCTGGGCGCGAACCCTTCCCGCGGCTTCATCATCGGCGGCGGCTCAGAAGGCGGCAACATCACCGCCGTTCTTGCTCACCTCGCCCGCGACAGCGAGCTCTCCCCGCCGCTAACCGGGCAGTACCTCTGCGTGCCAGCCATCATGTGCATGCTGCCTCCCGAGGCCATTCCGGAACAGTACCGTGCCGAGTACCTCAGCCATCCCTCGGTAGTCCCCTCGCAGGACCCCGTCTCAGGCGCTCTTGCCAGCGACGGAGGCGCCGCCTTGCAGAGCATCGTGAAGCCGGACATGCAGAGCCCGCTCTTCGTACCCTTCCGATTCGGGGAGGTCGGGCAGGGGCATAAGGGCCTGCCGCCCGCCTACATCCAGGTGGCAGGGCTGGATCCCGTACGGGACGAGGGCCTCATCTACGAGCGCATGTTGAGAGAGGAGGCGGGCGTCGCGACCAAGCTGGACATCTACCCTGGCCTCCCGCATTACTTCTGGACAAACTTCCCGCGGCTCGAGAAGAGCAGGCAGTTAGTGGAAGATACTGTGGAAGGTATCCGTTGGCTGCTAGAGCAGAAGTAGGGCCGATGAGAGCAATACGTGTCGAGATACTACAGATATCAATTTCAGACATGATATGCAGTGTTGTTCGCGTGTATCAGCCACACACATGCATGATTCGAGGCAACTTATCAGGGCAACATGCTTGATTCGTATCCTGTGGATGGTCAAATGTATAGCCCCCTCGCGCGAAGAGCAGTATATATAATGATGGCCAGCCAGGCGGCTAGTGGGAAAACTACAGGAACGCCTCCCCCGGGCAGCAGCAGCTCCGCCGGAAAAGAAAAAAAAGAAAATGGCCGCCGAGAACAAGAAACCAGACATGGCCTCAGATGCACAGCAACGCCCCCTTCGTCTCGTCCGCAAGCTTGGCCCTCCAGAGGCGGTGCTCGTTCAGGATGAAGATCTCGCCGTTGCGCCCGAAGCAGAAGTTGGCAGCGCCGCCCTCGACGAGGATCTTGCCCAGGAGGACGCCGCCGGGCGACCAGATGTTGACGCCGTCGCCGCAACCGCTGTACACGTTGCCGTGCACGTCGCACTTGATACCGTCCGGAATGCCCGTGTCCGCCATGCTGAAGAGCCGCCTGTTGGTCAGGAAGGGCTCCCCCGAGTACGACACCACGTCAAAGGCGTAGCTTTTGTTTCCCACCCCAGAGAGTCAGTCTTTTGGTTCTGTCCACGTGCGGAAGCCGAGACGATGAGAAGCAGAGATGGCGAGAGGGTCTGAAAAGGGGATAAAACAAAAGAAAAACCAGAACAACTCACATGGTCGACGCCCGCGTCAGGTCGGTGGACCCGTCGCCGTGAATCCAGTCGGTGTCGGTGATGTAGACGATCTTCTCGTCCGGGCTGAAACAGATGCCGTTGGGCCTCCCGAAGCCGTCCGCCATGGCCCTGATGGAGCCGTGGATGGGGTCGTAGCGGTAGACCTGGTTGGGCAGCTGAGGCGGCGGGCGGATGCCCTGCTCGTGGCCGTAGATGGGGTCGGTGAACCAGAGCGAGCCGTCGCCGTGGGCGACGACGTCGTTGACCGAGTTGAAGGCGCGGCCGTGGAACGAGCTGACCATCATGCGCGTCTCGTACGGCGGCTCGGCCTCCATGAAGACGAGGCCGCCGGGCGCGTCCATGGTGCCCTGGGAGCAAAAGACGACGCCGTCGAGGTAGTTGACGCCGCCGTTGGCCATGGCCACGGTGGCCGGGTGGATCTCCTCGCACGCCACCGCGGGGCCCCCGTCGTCCGGCAGGACGATGCGGCAGATCTGGATCTTGCGGCCGCCACTGTTGTCGGTGAACTGGTTGCTCGTGACGAAGAGCGTGCTGTTGCGCTCGATGAAGACGCCAGCCTCGTGGGCGAACGGGTAGTCCTGGTTCTCGTGCAGCACCTCGAGCTTCGGCGCGGGGCCGTAAAGCTTCTTCACGCGGTCGTCGTAGACGACGAAGGCGGGGTTGTCGGTCATGGCGTGCACAGAAAGGGAATAAAAATATAAAAAGAACAAGCCAGAGCCGAGGGCGCGTAGTAGGTGGTGAGACTGATATAGCCCCTCCCCCCCCAACAGAAGTCGTTTGATAATATTCCGGTGCAAGAGAAGCTTGTTCTCGAACCCCTCAACGTCGTCGTAGCTATTTCTAATCGCGATGGCAGCAACTAGCTATAGCTAGATAGGTAGGTAGACCAGAGAGGATGGAGGGGTCACGGCGAATGAGCGTTTTGAGTCTTGGTGCTCGCACGGATGCGGGGCACGAAGCAGCTGTTCCCTGTCACGGAATCAGAGTTCAAGGGTCTGTGGGAATGTCGGCAACTGACTCGGAGGGCGTCATGCCATCTTTCACGTGCCCGGCTGCAGGTTTATATCGAGACGTGCATGGATGGGGTATGGTAGTATCGGGATTTTAAGGCGGCGAGAGTCCATCTGTGAAGCCATGTCATGTTTCGAGGCTCTACAAGTCTCGCTGGGTCTGTGGCTGATGATGGAAAACTAGCAACATCGTCTTCCTCATCATCTTCCTCGTTGTTGGCCGCCAGTAGAGTCACACTTTGCTGTGAAGATACAAAGATGGGCGGGTTGAGAAGAAGGGCGATATTCCCGTCATTCAATCTTTCAATCTAACCAATTTCAGCTTCAGTCGAGGCCGGCTTTTATAGTCTTTCCAGAAACATGGCATTTTCTTTTTGCCATCCAACACGCTTGCACACATCAACTATGCTCTCGCAAGCCGCAAGTCATGACCCACGCCGCCGCCTGTCATCTTCTGACCTCTTCAATGTCCCACACCTCGACCTTGTCCTCGCTCCCGAACCGCTGGTCGAGGATGTCTTCCCCAGAGAAGAGACGGTCTACATCCTCCAGCTCCAGGCCCTTGGTTTCGGGGAAGAACAGGTAGATGATGGGAACCCAGGCCGCGTTTAGAACCGCAAAGATGATGTATGTCTTCCACCCGATGCTAGCGATCGAGATGGGCGTGATTTGCACAATCATCTGCCGCTTGGTTAGCCGATGAAGGGACCTTTGCGGGAAAAACCTGGTCTACTTACATAGTTGAAGATCCAGTTGGTGGCGCTGGAAATGGAAGAGCCCACTTGTCGGATATGAAGAGGCAGGATTTCGGACCTTTGGCGAGGTGTCAACAACGCGATATACATATTACATGCATCAGCAAGCGGTCGGTCGGGACTTACGGATAGACCCAGACGGTCGCCTGGAAGCCGATGGTGAAGGCGCCTTGGAAAACGAACAGCATGGCCGCAGCGCCGATTCCGGCGGCTTTGGCGACTGCGGTGGCATTCTGAACCTGGTAGATGAGAGCTGCTTGGACTGCCATGACGACCGCCATCAGGCTGATCATAGACAAGAGCTAGAAAAGGGGGACTTGTTAGCTGTTTCTGCATGAAACACGGAGCTGGACAATCCGCTCAGGGCCTACAACGTACCAGAGGCCTTCTTCCTACACGGTCAATCAGGAACCATGGGATGAATGAAGCGAGGAAGAACCACGTCTGCAGGAAGCCAGACATGAGACTCGACATGTGGCTGTCGAACCCGATACTCTTTTCGAAAAGCGTGCTGCTGTAGTCTGTTCCCTCGCAATGTCAGCGTTGTTCTCGTGGGTGGCCCTCCAACAGGGAGGGAAGTTTTCCCGGGGGTCGTGTCGTGCTTACAGATGATGGCGTTTATTCCGCCCAGCTGTTGGAACCCCTGAATGGCGCAGGCGATGAGAAAGCGCTTCTGGCTCTTGATCTGGTCCTGAACAAAGATATCCTTCCACGAGTGCGCGCTCACGGCCGATTCGTAAGAGACCGTCTGCATGATGCTGCTGTGGAGGATCTGGATGGACTCGTCGTCCTCCTCGTCGCCCTTCAGGCGCCGCAGCACGTCAAGGCACTCATCCGACCTGTCGTGGGCAGCCAGCCATCTGGGGGTCTCGGGGATCATCTGCAGGAGAATGAACATGGGGACGAGGCATATGCACTGCATGATCACGGGCACTCTCCACGCGTAGCTCCCGATGTGTGACGAGAAGGCGTAGTCGATCCAGTAAATCAAAAAGATGCCAAAGTTCAAGGTGGAAAGTTGCGCGCAGACGTCTGGCCATGTTTGTTAGTCCTGCCCCGGTCGGAAAAGCCAAAAGCATGTTTGTGAATCGATGAGATGGGGGTACTTTGTCTCCTCCATGTCCCGAGGGTTCGGCAACTTACAGATTCCGCGGCTGGCCTTGGGACTGAACTCGGCCTGTAGCACCGGGACAGTCGAGTTAACGATGCCCATGCCGACGCCCGAGACGGTGCGTCCAACGATAAGCTGCGCCCGTCCGTACGAGGCGGCTTGTACGATAGCCCCGGCCACCATGATGACGCATCCAATCGCGATGGTCTTCCGGCGGCCCAGGTTCTCACCGAAGCCCGCCGTTGCGATGCAGCCGATGAAGCAACCAACTGGAACGTTCCAAGGTCAGCGTCACGGAGGACTATGACTATGAAGGTCGGATTAGACTGTTATCTGTGCAAACTCACTTTCGTAAATGGCAACAATAAGGCCCGTCATCGTCGGATCTGGCGAATCAAATGTCGAGTTGAACGCCGGTGAGTTGACTGAGGCGGAGAGTCAGCATCATGACAGCAAACCCGGGCCCGTCGATATCGGCCACCACGTACCTAGTCCTCCCATGAGGCCATTGTCGTAGCCGATAAGCATGAAACCTAACGATGTCAAGATGCTGACGGCTATGACGAGCCGCTGGCCGCGAAGTTCGCCCATTGTATGCGTGTCGTCTGCTTCTCTCTCTTCCCTCTTTCTTGTCTCTCTCTCTCTCTCTCTCTCTCTCTCCACAGGTTCCCTAGTTGCGCAACTCAAGCCACAGAGAAGCACACACGATAGAGTATGCTGGTTCACAGATTTGGGCAAAGTGACGGGCGTTCACTGAAAACCCCTCATCCGAACGCGTAGGCGGGCCGTATATAACGGCTTTTCCACCACGATCTTGTGGTTCGTGATATCCACCATGATCGACATTGACAGTATCATTTCCCCCAGACATCCCCACGCGGGGTCAGGCCACCCCTGCGGGGTCTGGGGAGATTTCACCGAGTATACTGCATGGCAAGGTGAGTTCGGACAGCCCACGCGGCAATTGAAAAAATTCCAGCCTACGGATGGATTGCCGACTCATCAGACGGCGGTGTCGCATTGTTGACTCGCGGCAAATGTTGGATCAATAGCCGACACCACACAAACCCCTCCCTCCCTGGCAAGGGCCCTCCGTGAACGAGATTGCAATGCCGGTCCAGCCATTGATCTCGTGATTAAACCAAAAGTTCATGGTGTCATGCGCCTCTTAACAAAATGCGTCGCCAGCTCTGCCCTCGTAGAGGGGATTAGAACGCTCGGTTATGGACTCCGGGGCGGGGGGGGGGAGGAGGAGGTGATCAATAGCCGGCCATAGATGCCTGGAATACAAGAGAGGCGCATTGCCCTCGGCCCTCATATGAGATATCGATTGGAGATGCTCACTTGAGATCCATCTTGACGACCAATAGCCGCAGCGGCAATCGAACTTTCGGCTATTCAAACTGGGCTGCTCTCCATCACACCAAGCCTTTCCTGTTTTCAGCCTTCCAATCGAGTTGGCGGGGCACATTCATCGAGAAAAGAGAGAGAGAAGAAGACAAGAAAACAAGAAAAAGGAGGATAGGCGAGTTTGCAGGGTTTGGCCAGATACCCCAGTCCAAAACCCAACTCAACTTCCTTTTAACCGGCAGAACCGTGTCCCCAACCCAGACTAGGAGCGAATGAGTAGCACACATAGCTTTCAAGATGGTCCAGCACAGCATTAGAAACACAGACAACAACCCCCAGGGCCGCCTGGCTCTGGTGACGGGAGCAAGGTAAGTTGCTGTGTGCGCTGGAGAGAGAAGCCCCCCCCCCCCCCCCCCTCCGGGTGAATTCCGGGTGAACGAAAAAAGCTTTCCTCCCCCCCGGGGGGGCATCGGTTCATCAGTTGCACACGCTCTCCCCGCAAAAAGGTGTGATGTCGCCTTGCACTATTCATCAAACCAGGGACGAAGTTCCCGCCTGGGCTTGTCCGCAAACAGTTGGGGGGAGTGTGGGGGGAGTGATGTCCGAATTCGCGGAAACTAACGCTCGATGGGCGGCACGCGACCGTGTGCGGCTATTAAGTGACGCGGGATAAACTATGGACACACCTCCCCTCGCGATAATAATCTTAGCCTGGTTTGAATCTATATTATTTAAGCTGGCTTACCTACCCCAGCCGCACCTCATCTCACTGAGGGTGGATTGAGTCAACCGAGGATCCAGAGTGACCCCCCCCCCCCCCCCCTCCGGTTGAATTCCGGCTGATCGAGAGACGCTTTCATCCCCCCAGTGGTGGCATCGGTTCATCAGTTGCACACGCTCTCGCCGCAGAAGGCTGTGATGTCGCCTTGCACTATTCATCAAACCAGGTACGACGTTCCCGCCTGGCCTTGTCCGCAAACAGTTGGGGGGAGTGTGGGGGGAGTGATGTCCGAGTTCGCGGAAACTAACGCTCGATGGCCGGCGAACTTTAGGGCAAAGCCGAGGCCCTGGCCGAGAAGCTGCGGTCCCAGTACCCCTCGCAGCTCTTCCTCCCCTTCCAGGCCGACCTAGCGTCCAGGGAGTCTACCCGCAGCCTGGTCCCCGGCATCTTGGCAAACGGCGAGATCTCGCGGAAGCACAAGGCCATCTCGATCCTCGTGGCCAACGCGGGCCTCGGGCGTCGCATCCGCGACCCGGCGGACATTGGCGAGGAGGACTGGGACGAGATGATGGAGGTCAACTCGCGCAGCCAGTTCGTCGTCACCAAGGGCTGTCTCCCCGGCATGCGAGCGCAGGGGTGGGGGCGCGTCGTGTTGGTTGGGAGCATCGCCAGCCGCGGCGGTGGAATCAATGGGTGCCATTACGCTGCTACCAAGGGCGCACTCTGGTGAGTCCAGCCAACCCGCGTCTTGGCTTGCATTCTCTCGGCTCGGCTTTCAATGAGAGAGAGGGAGAGAGAGAGAGAGAGAGAGAGAGAACCGAGAATCCTAGTCCTTAGCTAACGCTAAACGTAGTTCTATGGGTCTCAACCTGGCTACGCTCTTGGCTCCGGAGGGTGTCACCGTCAACATTGTAAGTCCCGGCCCACACCCAAACACACACACACACACACACACACACACACACACATACACATACATGCACACGCAGCACATAGCCGGAGAGAAGCGGCCTGCTACAGTGTAATGGACTGGTCTGGACTGACCAGTTTACAACGCAGGTTCTGCCTGCCATGATCGGGGCGACCGGCATGATTGCGACTCCAAAGTCAACGTAGGATCTCCTCTCCTCGGACAGCCCGAATTCCCCCTTGACTAATTTCATGTTCCCCAAACATACAGCACATGGGACAGCAGAGACGACCTCGAGGCCCTCCGGACCACGGACCCCGGTCTGGCCATCGCCGCAAGCGTCCCGGTCCACCGACTGGGGGCCCCCGAAGAGGTGTCCAACGTTGTAACAATGTGAGTCCCCCCCCACCCTTCCCCTCGGGCGCGGCATGCGGACCGTGAGAGATCGTGAGGTGTTGACGATGACGGGGCGATATCCAGGTTCGTCAAGACGGGCTACCTCACTGGCCAGGAGCTTGTCCTCGCAGGCGGCTTGAAGTGAATCATGTATCGTTTTGGAATTGAGCCTTTTTTTGTAAATCGCTACGACTATATACTCTGTCTGGCCCCCCCCCCCCCCCTCCCTCGTTCCCGGCGCTATTGGCATGGCAGCCCCATGAAAGAATAAAAAACATATTTCCCTTCTGGCCCCGTAATGAAAACGACATGAAGCATTTTTCCGGTGACTGGCCAATGGGGCTGACCGCACAACCCTTACAGAGTTCAGACAGCCTGGGCCATGTGTTTTCTTCCCCTCTCCTCCCCTCCCCCGGATGCAGACAACTCGATTCGTGATCGGTGACTCCTATTTTGACTCCGTAAGAGATCTCTCTTGGGAGGGGTCGCCGTACAGGGAGTCCTTGAACCTTCACCTCCCACCATGGTTGCGTCATGTGAGGACTGATACCAGCCGAAGGACCGACAAGAAGGTTGGGCATTGAACTCAATTTATGGCGGACATGACGGCATTTCCGCACGTTTTGGGTCCAGATGGTGAATTGCCGATGCTGTCTTTACCCTCGTGGTACTACTACTCTCCCTGGGGGATTTTACATCCTTTCGCGAAGTCCGCATAATTCTCCACACGACTCAACATCAACGAAGCCTTGGACTCCGCCTCCGCTCCCCCTCCCCCCTCCCCCCCGGCGCGCGCGCTCACACACGCACACACACGTACACGCACGCGTGTACAAGGAGAAGAAGACGAGGAGGCCGGGATACTCTCGGGCCGACTCCCCGAAAACCAGAACAGTCGGTGTTCCCCCCTCTAGGTCGCCGACGTAGACCCCAAGAGATGTCGGTGAAGGTGGATACCGCCGCCCACCAGGTGTCCTCGACGATGTCCAGCTCCCCGCACCACCGGCTTCCTCACTCGGCGACGGCAACTGGAAAGGAGAGGCGGGTATCGCGGGCTTGCGTCTCCTGCCGGCTCAGGAAGACGAGATGTGACCTGTGAGCTTCTTGTCTACCGTAACCCTTGCTTGAATACCCGTCCCGCACCCGGCTGTTGGTGCTGGTCCTTGGAATCATGCGACTCCTGCAAGTTAGGCTACTTTGACTGCGCATATGCTGAGCCCCGGTGTTTTTTTAGTGACTACGGAGGGAACCCGGGTATGCCGCCCTGCCGCCGATGTGTCCGGGAGCAAAAGGAATGCATCTTGGCGACCTCGAGACGAGGTGGGAGACGGCCCCGGAAGTTTGTCCGGCTCCCGCAGGCGGACGGTGATGCACTGCTCCCGCACCGCAACGCCCCCGCCGCGCCGTCGTATGATTCGCTGGCCGGCGTCGACGGCGCCAGTTCCTCGGCCATCAGCCACGCGGAGGAGCGGCGGAACCAACGCTCGGCGAGCCCCGAGTCCCCTCCTCGTCGCGACGAGCAGCCGTGGTCGTGCTCGCCGGGAGACGACGATGCGTCCGGCCGCCGCCCGGCGAGCTGGCCCGGATCCGCATCCCAGCCCGACAGCCCCGGCGGCCAGTCGACGCGGTCCCTCAACAGCTCCGGCGACATCGAGGGCCACATCACCTCCAGCGACCTCCTCAACCCCTCCGATGCCCTCAACCTCCTCGCCCAGGTCGCGGACCTCGACGACGAGGAGTCCCGCGAGGGCATCCAGGACCTGCCCAGCGTCAAGTCCGGCGCCAGCGACAAGCGCAGCCCCAAGAGAGGGTCGCGGAAGCCTTCCACGCCCGCCGTCACCTGCTATCCGCCCATCTCGGACGGGATACTGAGCGCCTCGGTAGCGTCACGCCTGCTTTCAACGTGAGGCGCCCTCACCCGTGCCGTGTGCCTCCTTCCCCTCCCTCGGGCTGACTCTCGTTAACTAGTTACATCCAACACTTCCATCCCTTCTTCCCTGTGGCTGATAAGTGCATCCTGAGCCACTCGCCCGCCACCATCTCTCACCAGATAGAGTCGGAACCGCACCTCCTCACCGCCATCTTCACCGTGACGTCCAAGGACGAGCCCTCCCTGTCCCGCGTCCACGAGGCGTGCTCGCGGTACATGGAGACGCTCATCTCGAAGCTGATCTACAAGGGCTCGACCACCGTCGGCGCCGTCGAGGCCCTGCTGATACTCGCGCAGTGGGCGCCGCAGAGGCTGCAGGAGAAGCCCACGGTGGGGAGGGGCGAGGAGGACGAGGGCGCGTGGATGCAGATCGGCGTCGCCATCCGGTTGGCGTACCTGCAGAGCCTGGAGCAGACGGGCCTGTTGGCTGACAAGACGAGCCCGTCGTCCGAGACCTTTAGGAGGAAACGGATCGTTTGGGCCGGTAAGATGGGATTCCCTCCTTTGTACTCGCCTCGAATGATTTCTTTTTCTTCCGCCTCTTGTGGACAAGCTTCCGCTGACAAGGCGACTCTCTTTCGTCATCAGCCTGTTACATGAGCGACCGCGAGGTATCGATTCGCGTCGGCAAGGGCTTCTGGTCGCGAGGGCCGGGACCATCCACCATTCCCCGCTCCGCCGACTTCCCCTCGTTGAGAACGCAGGAGGCGGGGTCCGACAACCTCGGGCAGCTGTTCCAGGCACAGCTCGAGCTGATCCAGCTCTTCAGCAACGCCCATGACATCCTGTACTCGTCGTCGAGCCACAGGGCCCAGCTCTACCTGGGCGGGGAGTACGTGAGGTACATCGTAAGTCGGACGCGAGGGATTGTGGAAACCACTTCTGCGTTCGATCATGCCGCTGACGGGGGGTGGGGGGAATAGGACGACTCGTTCGCCGTTCTCCGGAAATGGAAGATTGTGTGGGGAAGTCTCAACTGTAAGCCTTCTCTGGTCATCCCGTAGGATATAGCCCTCGACAACGACTGACCTCTCGTTCCCCCCCCTTTCCTCTTTCCAGTCACGCCGCTGATCAAAGCCGCGTTGAACCTCTCATACGAGTTCCTCCGCCTGTACATCAACGCCTTTGCCTTCCAGGCAACCATCAACCGAGCCATCACCAAGGCGCGTCAGCAGCAACAGCTGCAGCAGCAGCAGCAGCAGCAGAATCCGCAGCAGCAGAACGGGAATGAGGCGGCGGGCTCCCGGGCACGCGCGAGGCAGGCCCCGGGCATCAGTAACTCCCTCTTCGCAGACCTGGCCAGCACGCCCGACGCCCGCTTCATCTACGAGTCCATGGACGCCGCCAACTCCCTGCTGAACATCCTGAACACGTCCGTGGACCCCTCGACCGGGCTGAGGTACATGCCGCTCAAGTACTACCTCTACGTCATTTACGCAGCCGTATTCCTATTCAAGGTGAGTGCACCGGTCTCGACCTCTCTCTCTCTCTCTCTGCCCCTCTCTCCGTCTTTCCATCTTTCTGTCTGTCTGTGGCAAACGAAAAAAAGGGCTCAACTGCTAATCGGCGAGACTTAGGCCCGCCTCGCCGGCGCCCTCGGCAACGAAGCATCCGAAAGCGTGCGCCGCTCCATAAACGTCACCATCGAGTGCCTTCAGAAGTCGTCCTCGAGCGCCCACAGCCTGGGCCAGCGCTACGCCAGCCTGCTCTCCCTCCTCTGGCGCAGCAAGTCGCCGCAGGAGCTTTCCCGGCACCAGCACCAGCACCAGCACCAGCACCAGCACCAGCAACATCAACATCAACAACAACATCAACAACAACAACAACAACAACAACAACATCATCATCATCATCATCATCATTATCATCCTTCCCAGATCGCCGCCGCCGCCTCCGGGGGCCCGTACGATCGCGACGCCGTCGGCGTCGACGACGGCCCCCCGGGGGTCTCGGGAGGACCGGGGTTCGCCCCGTCTTCCTCGGCCAACGGCGTGTCCCCCGCCACCGTCCCCGGGCCGGCCGGGCCGAACGCGACGGATCGCTCCTCGACGGCTGGCTTCGGCGTCGGCGGCGGCGGCGGCGGGCACGCGCAGCATCATCACCAGCATCAGCACGGGTTCGGAGGCGCGGGGGCCGGGCAGGGACACCCGGGAGCGAGCGGCTTCCCGGCGCAGTCCGACCTGCTCTTCCGGGGCTTCTCGTGGCGGGACCTGGACGACCTGGGCCAGTTCATCGGCCCGGAGGACATGGGCTTCTCGGACCCGGGGCACCTGGCGGCCATGGGCGGGCCGGGCAATCTGGACGACGGCGCGGCGTACGATGTTCTTTGGCCGGGGAACGATCCAGTTTTCTAGCTTAGCAGTCGTGGGGGGTGGTAAATTCGATGTTAAGCCTGTCTGTCTCCGTCTGCATTGAAAAAAATGGCCAGGATAGGTTGGGGGGACTCACGGTTGGATATGATTTTGACCCGGTGTTGGCGATACTGGCTCGGTCGGCATAAAGAGCCCATAGGTACAGAGAGACAGATAGTGGCGTACGGTTCACGCGGGTTACCTTGTTGCTCGGAGATGGCGAGCCCTCCTCCCCTCCTACCTGGCATGATATTATAATGATTCTTCTTGTATATTGGAAGTTGGACTTGTAAAGACGTAAAACTTTCTGGTGCTGTTTTCGCGCCAACACCCCTCGCAAGCCTGGGCTAAACTACAGTGCCTCCTCTTCTTTCAAGCCGTCCACCTCTGCCCTGCACATTTGTCTAAAGTACGACGCTTATCGCCCGAACGGACCTATGCCGTGTCCCGTCGGCAGAATGTCTCCACAACGGCCCCACTCTGTCCCGGTCCCCCGTCCCGAATCGCATGCCCAGCTTCTCCGTGCCGAACCCTCAACCGACACACAGCGCAAACACAAAAAACATCCGGTCTCATTTGGCATGAAGTCCCATAACCACGTCACATACAACGACACACACACACACACACACACACCCCTTCCCCAAACCGCGACACGTCCCGACGCCACGCCGGACATCCCCGAACCCCCCAATCACCCCATCCACGCCACGCCACCAAACGCCGCGGCTCATCCAAGCCTAAGCCGCACCTCTCCTACTAACTCCCTCCTCGCTTATCAATGAAAGAACAAAGATAAAGGGAGAAACGACGGCGGTAAGACAGGGGAGGGGGGAGGGGACAACGAACGACGTTCTATCTACATCGGTCGTTCCTTTTCCCTCGGCTGTAGCCGTCACTTTATCCTATCCTCCCACCCCTCCCCCCCCTTCGGCTCTTGGTTCTGGCAGTTGGAAACTCGCCGTTTCCCTAGCAGACAGAACAAACCTTTCTCATCGCCCGTCAGACACTCAGACATATCAGCCATTGCGTGCCACGCGCTCCCCACCCACCCCCGGTGTCGCCACGCCCACGAGGGAGATTCCCTTACCAGAACACCTCACACACACACACACACACACACACACACACACACACACACACACGTATCATTAATCCACACAAACAAGTAGCCTAGGCGTCAGCACCGCCCAGCCCCCCAAAGTGCTCCTCAGGAGGGACTTCGTGTATCATCACATCTCGATTGTCCGGTACATCACATCCATATCTTGCAGGAAAGAAAAAAACTTCTTTTTGATTTCCGGCCAACAAGGCGGCCCATATTGTAGTCTCTCTTCCTCCCCTACTCCCTTCCCTTCCCCCTTCTGGTCCAAAAAGAATAACCGTAGAGGTCAACCACCACCAACCAACCAACTACGTGCCTTGGTAAAATGTTATGCTTGAAACAACAATGAAGAAATACACTCGCCGCCTGATATAGTATGTGCGCAAACACCATCGCTAGCCCCCCCCCCCCCCCCCCCCCCAACATAAAACTCTCCACCTCGAATGGTAATTCTTTTTTCTTTCTGGGGGTCGTGAAATCGAATCTAAAAAGGGTAGTATAAAAAAGCCCCGAGGAGGCATTGTTGGGCATTCCTAGAAGCACTTTGAACCGAAGGCTCCAGACCCTACTCGCGAGCATAAAAAAGCATCGCCTTGAACGTGATAAGGATAAAAAGAAAGAAAGAAAAAAGAAGGGGAAAGGAAAGCAATGCCCCCACGGACGAAGGGGCCTGTGCTCCGAATGCCGGCTTGTCGCCGCGTATGCCCGCCTACCCGGTAGCCTTACTCGTACAATCCATCCGTTGCCGTACCAAAACCCTATCCTGTTCCCGCCATTGCCCAGGGGTATCAAGGAGCGAATGCCTCCAACGCCATCATACCTCTGCGCCTTCCACCTCTTCGCGGAAACGCAGACCACCTTCGACTTGGATCGCCTCCTTGACCCATTCGTGCTCGGCCACCTTCTCCAGAGTCCATCTACTCCTGGCACGCTGCAGGAGGCCCTCGGTAATCTCCATGGCGCCGAGCAAGCCGAGTTCTTTGAACTTGGCCTCGTCGCCTTCGTGGTCGCCGTCTTTTCCGGCGAACTCGATCCAGCGCCATTCCGCGCGCGCGATACGGTGGCTCGTACGGCTGCGCATGCGGTGGCCATCCATGGTGTTGGGGTAAGGGTCAAACGGGAGACGAGCCTCGAGGAGTGCGTAGAGCAAGACGCCCAGAGACCAGGCGTCAGTTGCGCGGCCATCGTAGGGCAAGCCCATGATGACCTCGGGGGCAGCGTAATCCTCGGAGCCGCATCTCGTCTCCAGCTTTTCGTCGTCCGCGATACGGCGAGAGAGACCGAGGTCGGTCAGCGTGATGACCGAGTGTGGGTACGTCGTCCAGTCAGTCGCGGGATCCGCTAGCTCGGGTGCCGTCAAGTTGACGAGCACATCTAGAAGAATTGTCAGTAAAGAGTCTTTTTTTATTTTCTCTTTTCTTCTCGGCCAAGGTCACTACTCACTCTCGAGTTTGATGTCCCTGTGGACGATTCTGCGTTCGTGGAGGTACCTCACGGCGCCCACTAGCTCAGCAAACATTCGTCTCAGCAGGGCGGGTTTGAGGAGCTGTCGATGGCCGGTGGCCACGTCGAAAAGGTCGCCACCCGGGCAGTGGCTAAGGACAAGGATGGCACGGCTCGGCTCGATGTTCCACGCCTTGAGGTGAACGAGCGAGGGGTGGCTGATGCTCTGCATGATTTCGAGTTCGCGCTTGAGCGACATCTCAATCCTCTCTTCACTGGCTCCTCCTCGTGGACCATGCTCGCAAACCTTTACCGCGACGAGGGTCTTCCTGAAGGGCTGAGACATTTGTGATATCGACGCCGGGCCGCCGGCCTGGGCCAAGTTGTCATCGTCGTCGAGCTGACTGGTTGCCAGCATGACACGGCTGAAGGTGCCCTGGCCTAGCGTCTTGACCGCCCTCCATCTTCTCTTCTTCCGGTCGCGGCGGTCGTAAGCTTCAAAGTATTCCGTGTTCTCCGACTTGGTCGGTCTACTGGCGGCCGTGTCGGTCGGGTCTCTGGAGGACTCGCTCGGCGGGGGCGTCGGAGGCTGGGCAATCGCAGGCGTCAATCCTCTGGACTCGGCAAGATTCAGTTCTCGGCGCATGTGGGGTTCGTTGTTGGCATCGGGGCCGTTGGCGGGCTTGGTATGGGAGCCCGACACGGTGACGTGCCGCTTGGGAACGTAATTCGAGTCCGGGGTGTATTCGCTGATGCTCCGGTTTCGGGCGTGTTCTGCTTTGCCGGTAACGGGCCCGTTTGCGCCAGCGCCGTCGGCGCCTTCGGAGACCAGACCGGCGTAGACTTTGCGTTTCGATGCGTTGGCCAGGGCGGCTGCTATTGATTCGCCGGTGGCCGAGACCAGGACGGAGTCCGGGGTGGGGTCGGGCATCTGATGCCTGGATGGCGAACGCAAGCCCAGTCGCTTCCACGGGCCGGGCGAGTCTCCTGATAGCAAAGGCGAAGGCAGCGGGGTGACGTCGCTCATAGCCGACAGGATGGGGCTGGTCATGCACGAGCTCGTGGCCGAGGCGGGCCCCAGGCTGTTGGCGATGGCGGCCTTGAAACTGGGTGTTCGTGATACGGGCTTCAAGCTCGAGGAGGATGTCTGATGCTGAAGGACGGCGGCACTGGGGCGGCGCGGGGTAGAGAGGGTGGCGTTGGGACGGTTGTCGGGTCCTGTGGGCAGGTGGGTGTGGAAGTGTGTAGTCTGGATTCGAAGAGAGCTGGTGGGAGCCGATTGAGTCGAAACTAGCGTTTGAGTCGAGGGAGGATCGAGGTGTTGAAAGGAGGATTCGGACAATGGCGGCGAGGGCGCTATCGTGTTTGCTTGGAACTGGATCTGGGGGTTTGAAACGTAGGAAAAGGAGATGTCGGTGAAGGGCGCTGCGGCATTGTGGTGAATGTTTGTGTCTGAGGCGACGGGGTCGGAGATGCCATCAACCTTGTTCTGGGGTTGTTGAGTATGTAAAGACATGGACTGGGGTGGACGGTTTGACATGATTATAGGTAGGCAACGTGTGGGCGAGGTGGGTACGGACGACGGTGGTGCGTGTCGCCGAGAGCGTCGCGGGCGCGCGGGGAACGGATTGAGCGCGAGGTTATCAATGGGAGGGTGGCGGCGGCCGTCTGCGATTCGTAGGCGCGCAGGATGGGGTGGAAGGGAGAAGACGACTACCTACACAGGCCGGACCGACGTCAGTTTCAAGGTGTTTTCTTTCCCCCTCCTTCGATGTGCATCTCTTTCTCTTTTTTTTATTTATCCTGGTTCGCCCTTGCATGAAGAGAGAGGAGAGAGAGAGAGAGAGAGAGAGAGAGAGAGAGAGAGAGAGAGAGAGAGAGAGAGAGAGAAAGAGATACGGGGCGCGTGAATAGTAGAGAAGAAGTACGAATCCGGCGCCGTGGGGGTTCAAGAAGTAAAGGTAGAATTGGGGGGGGACATAGACGAACTCACCCTTGGTGCAAACCTCGCTGATGCAGTGTGAGACTTGGCAGTCGAATAACCTTGTCTTAGTGAAAGATTGACCCGACTCCCTCGCTGCGCAAGCAAATGGGCGAGGGAGAGAAGCAGAAGAAGGAAAAGGAAATAAACCTTTTGGGGGATCGGCGGCGGACCTGGGCGGGTTGGAGAAAGAAGGAAATAAAGGAGCGGAAGGGAAAGACAGGGAGAGGGAGAGTGAGTGAGAATGAGAGAGAGAGAGAGATGCAGGAAAGGAGGGGCTATGACGAGAACATGGGGAGTGAGTGAGAGAGTGAGAGAGTGAGAGAGCCAGAGAGTGAGAGGGCTCGGTTGGGCTATGCTATGTATGCTGCTGCTACCTATGCTGGCTGTCGAGTGTCAAGCAGGTCAGAGGATGCGCAACGCAAAGCAAAGCAAAGCAAGGCAAGGCCTATACCGACACGATATGCCACGATA